TGGAAAGCGCAAGCTGGCCAGTATGGCGAGAACGTTGGCCGCCTGGAGAGTCCAGACCAGGGCCTTCGGTGTTCATCACATTATTCTTGCAAGGAACAAGATTATTTTATTCTTGCACCTTTTGGTGGCTTTGAGATTTTTCAATAACAAATCATTTAAAAATCATAAAATATTTAGAAGAAATACAACTTTTTAATTTTTTAAACATTTTTTTTAAAGATTTTATTTTTGCATAGAAGAACTGGGGTGTAGGCCAGAGGCACCTACCTCTGGGTGGGGTGTGTGTGGAAGGACTCCCCAGAGACAGAGAGGGGAGCAGAGCAGGCGGGTTGACTGAAATTCACTGCTGAGGGGAGCAGCGAGGAGACAGGAGGGGTCTGCTGCGCCCTAGGGCTCACTCCCTGGCTGGGGGTAACTCTCAGGCTGTAGCAGCAGCAGCACGATAGTGCTGAGACTTAACCCCTAGGCATCGGGGAGGCTGTAATAAACCTTTTCAAGTAGTAGATAGTTTTGCTTTCTTTTGGATGCTGCATCCTCTTGAGGGTCTGCTACAGACCACCTAGGAATACAAGGTTACCTGCGCTTGCACCCCGACGCGGTCTGCAGAGAACCCAGCCCTGCCAGAATCCCCCATGTCCTGCAGACCCAGCCCGAGGCCACTGACGGGGCTGTGAGTAGAACTGAGCTGTGACTTCGGAGGTCACACAACGCCGCAGGGACGAGAGGGCTGGGGCAGCCCGAGGGATGCATTTGGCTCCTGGTGGTGCAGATACCCTGGGCACACAGGCCGCTGGCTTTCCCCAGCCCTCGCTCAGAGACCCAATGGGCCAATTGTCTGTCTGCATGAGCTGTATCCAGACCCCGGGACGTGGCGTGAGAGCTTGGAAGCACAGGGCCCAGCAGCCGCCCCGTGTCCCCAGGCTGGGATTCCAGGCCGCCCTGAGGATGCTCTGGCCCCAAGGACCCCCCTGTGCCCTCTGGTTGCAGGCCACGTCCTTCCACCTGCCCGGGCTCCAGATTCCCCTCTCTCTTCACCTCTGCAGGCGCAGCCCAGGCCTGACGGGGAGGTGATGCCCACACTGGACATGTCCTTGTTCGACTGGACGGATTACGAAGACTTAAAGCCTCATGTCTGGCCCTCCGCCAAGAAGAAAGGTGAGGCCCCTGCCCGCTCCCCTGTGCCTGGCCCCCTGCCTCCCAACTCTCTGTGTACTGGGGGCCCGGTGAGGCCAGGCTCACCTACAGAGGCCCAAAGTTGGGGCGTGGAGGCGTGGGGTCTGGGCAGAAGCCGCCACCAGAATGGGGGGTGCCACCTCGGAGGGCTTCGTGGCCGCGCGCTTCTGTGTCCGTGCATTTATTTTGACCCAAGAAAAAGAAAACTGTTAGTCTGCAGTGCAGCTGCTCAGTCTGGAGAAGACTGAGGCAGAGAGGGGGTTGCGCCTTGCCAGGCCACCCCTGGAGGAAGTGGCGGTTCCAGGCTTTTGAGGCCTCGGTCTCTAATGACAGCTCTTCTTGTGCCCAGAGAAACATCGGGGGAAACTCTCCAGCGATGGTAACGAAACATCGCCCGCAGAAGGGGGGCCATGCGCCCATCACCCAGACTGCGCGCCAGGTACCCAGCACATCCCCGCTCCAGGCCCTAGGCTGGGGGTGGGGGAGCCCGGGGTGGAGGGCAGAGGCCGTGAGCCGGGCCCCTTGGGGACAGCTGTCAAGCCAACCCCCGCCCCCCAAGCATCACTTCGTCTTCAAGGCCACCCAGAGCGAGAGGACTGACAGCCCTGATTTCTGGACAAGGAAATGCAGCCTCAGAGAGGTTGAGTGCCTTGGCTGAAGCCACACAGCAAGGAAGAGGCCGGGGGCCGGGTCACCTGGCTCTCACCCACTGTCCCCAGCTGCCTAAGTCAGGGCGACCCTGCTGTCCTGACTTCTGGCACCTGGCAGAGCTAAAGTCCATCCTCACCCCCTCACGACACTGGCAGGCTTTCAGGGTGCTTCCGACGACATCCTGGCCCGCTCAGCAGCTCAGCCCGTCGAGGCAGCTGTAAAGCGAGGCCTGATGTTTCCCCTGATGCGGATGCTGGGGTGGAGTTAGGAGCTTTGAGAGGGCTGGCAGCAACGCTGTTAGCGATTAAAGGGGGGAAGCAGGACTGGATGGGAGGACAACCCAGGTCTGGGGACCCCAGAGCAAAGAGAGCCCGCGAGGAGGCCCCGGGAGGTAGAGATGCCAAGTCCGGTCAGTGGTCATCTGGGCTGCATGACATGGGACCGGGTGTCCCCCAAAAGCTGGAGGCCATCAGCTAACTGGCTCTTCCTGGGGCGGAGGGGAGCAGCCCCCCTCCATGGTGCCTTGGCTGTTAATTCAGCGGCCCGAATGTTGTGGAAAAAGAGCAGCGGAATCCGCAGTCCAGCGCTGCGCGAGCCGAGCCACCAGCTCCACGGCAGACCGTCCTTTCCAAGCCACGTTCGCGCCCTGCGCAGGAAAATAAGGCTGGACGCTGGGCCACTGGAGGGTGGCTGGGGCGCGGCCGGCCGCTGGAGGAGGCGCCTCGGGGCCTGCTGCCCGCAGAGGCCGGTCACCCATCTGTCCAAGGGGACGGTGTCAGGGATCGAGGCCCTCCCGGTCAGGAGCCGCCTCCACCTCCGGCGGTCCCCAGCTGCTCGCCGACTGCTCCTTCTTGGGGGGATCATGCCCTGTCTTTGCTCCGCCCAAGATCAATCAGTTGCTCATCGGGGGCAGCTGGGTCCATGCCGCTCACTCGGGGCCTCGGCCATGACGTCCAGCGGCACCGCTGGCCAGGAGTCTGGTGCGCCAGATGGCCCACCCCGCCGGGGCGTGGCCCTGCCACCAAATGATGGATCTCCTGCCCCGGGGAGGGAGCAGCGCGGCGGGAGGGTCCGCTCAGCTTGGCTGACCACGTGTGCTTGCCGGTGGCCAGGGACCTGCTGTGACCTTCGGGAGCATCTCTGCACGCCCCACAACCGAGGCCTCAACAACAAATGCTTTGATGACTGCATGTGTGTGGAAGGTGGGTCTGGAGCCCCTGGGGGGAGGAAGAGCGCGTGGGGGGGCTCATTCGAGCTCCGAGAACCCCAACAGCTCCCCTTCTCCTGGAAGCTGGTTCTGCACTGAGTGGGGGATGCGGCTTCCTGGCAGAAGGCGGACGCTGGGCCGGGCCGCAGGGAAGGAGGGGCGAGAGAATCCCCTGGGAGCTGAAGAGGAGCCAGGACAGCTTTGCTCGATGCCTCCCCAATCTGTGAGCTCATTTAGTCTGCTGTCCTGGCATCGCTTCTCAGATCTGCGCTTATCGCCTCTTGAATGCAAGCTGGCACCATCTCCCCAGCCGGGAGGAGGGACGAGGCAGGGGAGGGGAGCATCTCTCTTTCAGTGAGATCAGACCTGAGGAGGGTGGGTGCTCTCCCCAGGCTTCTCTCCCAGGCCAGGACTCCCGGTGGGTAGCCGGATGGGGAGTGTCTTTCCCACAGGGAGGGATGCCCTTGGCCTGGTACCTCTCTAACTTCCCTGAGCCCCCACCTGCAGCAGGAGGAATTCTCCTGCCAGTGTGCCAAGCTCTGGCATCCGAGGGAAGGGCAGGTTTGATCCCTGTTTTGTTTTATTATTTTTTAAAGACTGATTTATTTATGTACACAAGAACTGGGGTACAGACCAGAGGTGCAGGGGTGAGAGGGTTCACCAGAGACAGTGGGGAGCAGAACAGGCGGATTGACTGAAATCCACTGCTCAGAGGATCAGCAGGCAGGTCAGAGAGGTCTGCTGCGCCCTGTGGGTCCCTCCCCAGGTGGGTGGGAATCGACCTCACGCTGCAGTGACTGCTGAGAGCTTCCTAGCGCTCCGCTTTAACCCCTTGCTCACCGGGCAGGGCCCACGGTCCCTGCTTTGCACACGAGCAGATGGAAGCCCAGAGAGGTTAAGCGACTTGCCCAAATTCGCACAGCTAGAGAGATGGGAACATTTGGCAACCTGAAGCATCGCAAGTACATTCTGAAGTAGTCAGGATAATGCAACAACCTCCTCGCTCTCCCCTCACCCAGTTTTACTAATTACCAACTCACAACCAATCTGTGCCGTCTCTCCCACCCACACCTCCATGCCAGCATGCCAGTGTGCTTTTGAAGCAACGCCAGTGAGTTTACAGAGACTTCATCTGTGAAGATTTCAGTAAATATCTCTCAAAGATAAATACTCCTCAAAAAAAAAAAAAAAACCCAAAAGTGAACAAAACTTACTCAGCATGAACAGTGTCCCACTTTCCTGAGTGGGTGAATTGGGGCTTGTTCCGCTACGAACCACCCAGGTCCAGGGCCCGTTTTCACTCGCGCTGTCCTCAAGGAAATGTCTGCTGTGACCGCAACAAGGGTGTGGTGACGCCAGGTAGCCACAAATAGTTACCGGCTGCCCACAGTCAGGCGCTGCTCGGGACGCTGGGGGTCCCAGGCGTGAGAAGGACAGAAGGTTCCGGAGTCGTGGACTGTTGTAGCAAGATAAATGGACAAGCACAAATACACAGACAAGATGTCTCTAGAAAGCAGTAGGTGCAGTAAAGAAGTGACTCCGGGTGGCCTGATGGGAGTCGGGCATTGTTTCAGGAAGGGGGGGCAGGGCCAGCCCCAGATACCTGAGGGTGGGTAGGACACGCCCCAGACGAGTGGCAGTTTGAGTGGCCAGTGGGCAGCGGCTCAGAGTGGCCATTGGGCAGTGCACAGAGGAGGGGAGAGGCCAGCAGAGACGATCAGCAGGACCTGGACGGTCTGTTTGACTGTGATTAGAAGTCATCGCTGGTGGCTTTTAGGCAGGAGAGCGACATGGTTGATTTACAAGTGGGAGGCAGGTGTGGAGCCAGGGAGAGCCCACAGGGACAGGGGGCTGGGAAGCCACCTGCTGTCCCTGTGTGCAGGTGGGGCCCCATTTCCCAGAGGAGGAGTCTGGGTTACAGAGCAGACTGGGGACACTGGGGGTCAAGGAGCCCCAGCTCCAGCACTGGGGCTGAGTCCAGGCCCAGGCCTGCTCCCTGCCCCCTGCTTGGTGAGGCCAGTGGCTCTCCCGACTGCACGTGTTCGCCCCCCACACGCCCCCAACCCCATGCCCAGCTGGATGCCCACCAAGTAGTGCCTCTGCCCAGGAGTCCCCCTCCTTCCTCCCCGGCCTCTGAGGGGAGGTGTCCGAAAGCCTGAATGCTCGCTCCCTCGGGTCCCTGTCCCCATGGCCAGTCCCACCAACACACTGGCTTCTTCCCGGAGACTTGGGCTCCAGAAAAGAGTGAAAAACGCCAGTGACAGCTTGGTCCACACCAAATGTTATGCCACAGGGGTGTGGGGATACCCTCAGGAGGATGGGGAGACACCCTGGAATGTCACACACAGGGCCTGATGTCCAGCGATCAAGCCAGCCTGGTTCCTGCAGGGCTCAGAAGGGTCCTGCAGCTCTCTGCCACTCCTGGGGTGAAGTCCCCACCCCTCAAGTACCACTTGTGTGGTCACAGCTCCCCTCAGCACAGACCCCAGCACCCCCTATTCTGTGAGCGACGTCTGTGGGCCTTGGGGTGGAGATGTGCTCTCTCCCTGTTCTAACCTGCAAGTTAGGGCTTGCTCAAGTCAGCCTGTTCTCTCCCCCACTCCCAGGAGGATGTGGCCTTTTGTGGCCTGAGTGAAAAATAAGTCTGTGGCGATGAGAGACCCTGAGCCAGGATACTGCCCGCAGACCAACACACACACTGGCAGGCAGGAGAGTCTCACCTACCTTAGCTAGGTGAGCTAGGAGACCTAAGGACCATGGAGGAGCCAGTATGCAGTGGGCTGGGGGAAGGAAAAATTCTGGCTGAGAAAACAGCAGGTGCCAGGGGCCTGAGGCAGGAAGTGGCTGGTATGTGAGGAGAAACAGCAAGCCTGAGAGGTAAGGGGAGGGAGGTGAGGAGAGAATGGGGTCTCCCAGCCTCTTGTCAGTAGAGGCAGGAAGATTAGATTGGTTCTGTGGGGTGGAGAGGGGTGCGGGCAGAATCTGTGTCCTTCCTAAAAAATTTGTAGCAGACTAAAATTAGTTTCACAAGAAATGGAGTTCTCCTGTACCTCAGAGTTCCCTGTTATTTACATCTTGCAGAAGTGCGATCCACGCACAGAGCATGAGCCACTCTTGGCGCTTCATTATTCTTAACTAAGACCCAGGGTTTACACTGGGGTTTGCTGCGGTATATTGTGGGGTTTGACAGATGCATCGTGGCACGCAGCGCCATTACCAGGTCACAAAGAATGGTTTCCTGGCCCTAAATATCCCCTGAGCTCCATCTGTTCGTACTTTCCTCTCTCTGCTGAGTGGTTTTAATCTCCTTCAGC